TTGGACTTCATGGAGATCAAACCAGTCAATCCTAAAGGAAATCAACCCTGAATATTCATTGGAACGACTGATGCTGAAGCTGAAACTGCAATACTTTGGCCATCTCATGAGAAGAGTTGACTCATTGGAAAAGACCCTGATGCTCGAAAAGATTGAGAGCAGGAGAAGAAGGCAATAGAGGATGAGATGGTTGGATGGCATCACCGACTCAATGGACATGAGTTTGAGTAAACTCGGGGAAACAGTGAAGGACAGGGAAGCCTGTTGGGCTACAATCCATGGAGTCACAGAGTCAGACATGACTCAGTGACTGAATAACAACAACACCCTAAACCAAATGGCTTAAATGACCATCACTGGTTTATTGCTCATGAGTCTTGTCAGGGTGGGGAAAAAAAAGCTTCCTTTACCTTCTCGAGTTGATAACTTAGGTGTGCAAATTAAACTGGCCAAACAACCTAACAGATCAAACTGTTCTTTTCACCATCCAATCTCAATTAAAGTTAAGGTTAGGTTAGGTTAAGGGTAAGGTTAGATTAACATTAGGTTAAAGGTTAAGGTTAGCTTAGGTTAGACCAAGAAGAAGGGTTTAGATTTTAATTTGCATGGAAGGCATCACTGAAAAGAATTGAAAAAAATCCAAAGCAGTTAAGCATTGGAGTTTATTATTTTAACAAAAGGCAATACATTGTGGAGACGTGACTACAAAAAGGCAAAGGGTTCTCATCTCCTAGTGGCTGTAAGGATTGGATGGTTGTAAATCATGGGAAAGTAAGTATGTGGGGGAAACAAATGGGAGATAAAAGTTAGTTTAGTAAGGTGTGCTGCCTTTCTACCTCTAGTAAGAACGCATGTTCTTTTTACCAAAAGAACATGGGGGAGGGGAGGAGGACTAGCTTCACCAAGGGAAATGTCTGTCCTGCTTTTTGGAAGATGGGGGAGAGCAAAGAGCTCTTCCTGTGCTGGTTTATTGTTAATTGCCTTCAGATTTAAGACAATTCTATGCCACAGTTGCATATTTTGGCATCCTGATCCCCGTCCATCTACAGGTCAGCTTGGTGGTTCTGCTGGCCTGGACAGGCTCTGTCATTCCGGGCTGCTCTCATAAACCTCTGACTGGCTCATGAAGTGGCCGGGGCTGGCTGCTGCAAGGGGTCCCACTCCCATGTCTGGGGGTTGGCTGGCTATTGATGGTGGCGCTGGGTTTGACTGGTCATGCCATCATTCAGCAGGCTAGCCTGAGCTTGCTTGCTTCACGTGACAGTGGTAGGGTCCCTGGAGTAAAAGTGAAGGCATAGAAAGTTTTTCCAAGCTTAGGCTGGAAAATTAATTCTGCTGCATATGGTGGGCCAAAGCAAGTAACCAGGTCAGCCACACAAACAGGTGGAGAAACAGACTCCTTTCCCTGATTGAGCGCTGCAAAGTGACACTGCCAGGACAGGGGTGTGGGGGGCGGGGAGTGTGAGAATGTCTCACCAGCTTTATTTTTTTTAATATTTATTATTTGGCTGTGACTGGTCTTCATTGTGGCACAGGGAATGTTCATTGCCATGTGCGGGACCTTGGTTTGGCCTGGGGGACCTTGAGTTGTGGCATGTGGGATCCAGTTCCCATCTAGAGATAGTTCCCTGCATTGGGAGTGTGGACTCTTAGCCACTGGACCACCAGGGAAGTGCCCTGTATCACTATCTTTAAAACTCTAACACTATGCTCTAGGCAAAGAGGCTTTCCTTTCTCACTATTTCTGGGGCAGAAATAAAGAAAAGAAAAGTAGCTCAGTCATGTCCAACTCTTTGCGACCCCATGGATTATGCAGTCCATGGAATTCTCCAGGCCAGAATAGTGGAGTGGGTAGCCTTTCCCTTCTCCAGGGGATTTTCCCAACCCAGGAACTGAACTCAGGTCTCCTGCATTGCAGGCAGATTCTTTATCAGTTGAGACACCAGGGCAGGACCCTTCCTTTCTTGTCTCTGAATATTTGTTCAAGGTATTTCCTCCACCTCAGAAGTCATCTCCTCATCCATCTTGAGGCTCAAATACTGTCTGTTCTGCAAGATTTGTCTCTGCAACCAATTCATCCATGAAACTTTTCTTCATCTCTCCAACTAAATGTGGTTTCTCACTCTGAAGAAGTTGAAATGCTTCCAGACTCTACAAAGTCCATCAATTCTGAACTCTTTGTGACCATAGGTCTAGTTATATGCAATTGAAAACAATCTTTTTTTCTATCTTAGTGTATAAAATGACTGTGATTTAGGGTGATAGCTTCTATTAAACTGAATCTCTGTGATTTCTTTATTCCCTTCTGCTCTAAAAGAAAACTGACATTCATAGCTACCTGCCTATAGCTTGCCAACAAAATTACTATGTATGACTTTCAAGATTATCTTTACTGTTACTTTGGAGCTCAGGTTTCACTCTCAGTTCCCCGAGTACACTTTCTCAAATGATTTTGCTTTTAATGTTCAGTATTTTAGGAGATTCTAAATTTACTTTAAAATTTCATGACTTAGAACATGAAAATCTTCCATGTTTATGAAAGCCTGGGCAAAGCAACAAAGACCCAGCACAGCCAAAAATAAATAAATAAAATTGTAAAAAAATAAAACCCCAAATGCTATCAAATAAGAATGGGATATTAATCCTATCACCCCTAAAGCTGTGTGTGTGTGTGTATGTGCTGTGTATATATGCGTGTGTGTATATGTATATATGTGTTCCATATCTATGACTTCTGTCTCTGATATGATTATGTATTTGAGAACCTGAAGAATAGTTACTTTAGTTTTTTGACTGTGTACCTCCTAAATCCAACTTAAGTCCCATGATGTACACCCACATGAAGATATTAAGTGTGCTGTGTGATATAGTGCTTGAAGTCAGTACTTGCAAACAGGAAAACAGATGGGTTTCTGAGATGTCAGTTGTATTATTCTATGTTCCAATTGAAGTGTGCCAGTCTGCTGTTCATTAAGGTTTTGAAAAAGTCATACTGGTGAGAGAGTAAATCAACTTTGTTCCTTAGAGACTAGAGGAAAAATATATAACTGTACATATAGCTGATAGGAGTGTGGTTTTTTTTTTTTTTCTGATAATGGTATTTCAAGATGATTCATATATTTTGCAGTGGAGTAAACATTTCAATGCGATCTCACTTTGAAATGAAGAAGCTAAGTCTCAGGGAGTTTACATGCATCACAACTATTTGGCAGTACTGAGATTGTGAAATATTAGAGGAAAAAAAAAGAAGTCAACAATAAATGAAGACCCAAACAAGCTACATCAAAACAAGAAAACAAAAGCAAACCAAAACATATATACACACACGGCTTTAAGGGTGATGGGGTCAATATTCCATTCTTATTTGATAGCATTTGGGGTTTTACTGTTTTACAGTTTTATTTAAATTTTGGCTGTGCTGGGCCTTTGTTGCTTTGCCCAGGCTTTCTCCAGTTGTGGTGCCCAGGCTGCTCCTTGCAGTGGCTTGTGGAACACCAGCTCTAGGGCGTGCAGGCTTCAGTAGTTGCTGAATGTGGGCTCAACGGTTGCAGTTCCCATTCTCTAGAGCACAGGCCCAATAGTTGGGGCGCACGGGCTGAGTGGCTCTGCGACATGTGGACTCTTCCCCCACCAGGGATTGGACCAGTGTCTCCTGCATTAGCAGGGGTTTCTTTTACCATTGAGCCACCAGGAAAGCCCCCCATTCGGGTATTAACATAGGCCTCAGAATCTTTTCTTCCCTCCATCACCATTCTTTTTTTTTTTTGAAACTAGAATTGCCCTTTACTCATTCAAATGAAATGAATTTCCAAATTGTAGGTTCTTAAATGCTTTTGTGCCCTGGACCCTTTTGGTTGTCTGGTGAAATGTCATTTTCAGAATAACCTTTTTAAATGCGTAAAATACACGGGATGGAAAGGAAAATCAATTTTAATGAAACACAGTGAGCAAGATATAAAAAAGATAAATTTGTGTAGACTAACACATGTGGTTATATTAAATAACAAGATGTAGTGTCAGTCTAATGAGGACCATAATTTCAATGTAACAGTGACTTTTAACGATCTGAGAAAGCTGAAACAATTAAAATTGAACAGGAAAATCCATAATTTCTAGAGGTGTCAAAATCTCTGGTATTACTAAAGTGAATATATTTTACTTAGAGGCTATAACAGATATTTACACCCCGCCCCGCCCCCCCCACCCCCCAATCCAAGTTCAGGGACCTTCTGGTAGATTTGTAACTTTGGTGGCTCTCATAGTACCTGCTCCTGGGGTGGGGGGGGGTTGTGTGTGTGTGACGCCCTCCACATTGATGCTGGATTTGCTGCCTTTGACCAATTCGGGAAATCGGCAAACTGAGCTACAACAGAGTCACTGGGCGTGCCATCCTGAAAGGCTGCCTCGCCCAACTAAGAAACCTCGTCTAACTTTTCAAGGCTAAGACGCACAGGCTTCCCAGTAATCCCAGTTGAGCCCAACCTCCAGCCTCGAGCCCCATAAATTAGGCCAGTTGAGACCAGCTGCACCAACACAGTTTGCTGGAAAAGCAGCATCTCAGGTTTCACACCAGAGCTGTCCAATCAGAACCTGCCAGTTCACAAGTTTCCCCAGGTGACATGTATAAGCGTTATTGTTTGCAAAGTACTCCAGAAACGTGCTTTTGACAAGTAGAGCCACCCCCTTATCTTGTCGTTCGTCTTCCCTTTCTGAGACTTCTTTCACTCTGGGTTAGAAATGTTCTTCGGCCAAGTCTCTGTCCCACCCTGCCCAGCGTGATTTGAAGACTTACTGCCTCACTTTTATTCAAAAGGTCCAGGAGTGCTGGGTGAGGCCAAAGTGTCTACGGGGCTGCTTTGGTCTGTTTCGTCAAATGGCAAAGTCACGAAGGAATAGAGGGTTTAGAGGCAAGAGCAGCGTGTTGGAAATGAATGAAAGAGTGAATGAACAAAACCTTCCGAAGAGCCAACCAGTGAAGCCCTAGACACAGAAAACAGTTTTTAATCTTGAACTCCTCCTGCAAGCTTGTGTAATTTGTTGTCTTTAAGAACCGGGCTGGCTTTGTCGGCTCTGGGCCACTCGCATGTTCTGTGCACTGAAGCCCCCGACCCGAATAGAGTGCTCCCTAGCAGGGGCGGCGGTGGCTCACGCAGACGATGGGCCGCGTCCCCCGGGAAGGCAGCCCGCGCGGCTTGTCCCCGCGCAGCTCCCATATAAGGCGGGCTCCGCCCCTGCCCGGGCATCCCCGGCGCCGCGCGAGCTTCGCCTTGCCTTTACCCCGCCCGCCGCTACCGCGCATGCCCGGCCCGCTCCGGACACCGGCGCGCCTGGTTTCCCCGCCGCTTGGGTCTAATTTGCACCCAGCTCCGCGCTCCCTAAGGGGAGAAGTTATGGGTCTTTGGGCTCTAGGAACTCGCAGGGTGCTGATTCCCGGCCAGCCTCAGGGCTCTAGGGAAGTTGACGCGGCGATTCCTCGTTTAAGTGGGTCACGTGTTTGCATCATCTCAAAGCGTGAACCAACAACCAGTTGTTCCTGATTTGTAGATAAAGCAAGAGCCTTAGAGGCGCCCAATAATGCAGACTTGGTCACCCAAAGCTAATGCTGGAGCAGAAGCTCAAACCCAGACCAGCCTCCGTTTCTTGCGGCCCCCATCATAGCTGGGCTTGTGGAGGAGCAGTGCCCTCCCGCCCCCTACCAGGCTCTCAGGGTGCCCTGGGGGTGTGAAATGAGGAGATGAGGGCAGAGCATCCTTTTGTGGCCCATTAGGAACGTGGGGGCGCACTGGCTCTTGAGTATGGGCACTGCCTTCTGTGGGTTTTCCTGCCCGCCCCCCCACTCCCCTTCAGCTGTAAGACTGGAGGCAGGAAGAGTGGGGTCGTGGGGCTGGGATGGGTGGGCTGAGTGGCCCAGAATGGGGCAGCAGGAGAAAGGTGGAACTGATGTTATGGTTAATATGGCCTGCAGGTAATCCTGGGGCTCATAGGTGGGCCCCTGGGTGTGTGTGAACGAATGCCCCAAAGAGTGTATGCATGAGGGGCTGGCTGAATGAATGAAAGTGCATTCTCCGGGAGCAGGGACAGGACCTTGGACTTCATTCCTCCAAGACCCTAAGCCCCAGGAGAGAGTCGTTCCCACCCCTAATTCCTTGAAGATGGAACTGTAACATGTATGATCTCAGTCGCTAAGTCCTGTCGGACTCTTTGGAACCTCATGGACTGTAGCCCACCAGGTTCCTCTGTCCTTGGAATTCTCCAGGCAAGAATACTGAAGCAAGGTGCCATTTCTTTCTCTCGAGAATCTTCTCGACCCAGGGATGGAACCCCCGTCTCATGCACTGCAGGGAGATTCTTTACCACTCAGTCACCTGGGAAGCCCAAACTGTAACATAAGTGCAAAAAAATTCCAATAAAGATCTGATTTCAGCCAACATAGCCATTCTTGCCGTACCCTTTTTATTTTCATTTCTTCGTATCCCTGAATTGAGGGGTCCAGAACAGGCTCAGACAGCTTCAGAGTAGTGGAGAGGACTGAGGAGGGGCCCACTATCCATCTGGGATAACTCTGTTCCGGTTTTAAATTGGATGAGTGAACTCCCCAGGTGGGGTAAAGCCAGGTCCTTGGTTAGGGCTGCAATACTGTTTTTGGTAATCTGACCTCAGGATTGTGGTTCTTGAGCTGGCCCGAAATTGCTGCGAACTCCTTTTTTGCCTCCTTCCCGTTTTTTCAAGGGATGAGGTTGGGTTTTAGGCTGTCTTGAAATCGCTCCGTCCCCAGCGGCCCTGAGGCTCGAACCACCTGATTTCTTGACCTCGGAAGCGGCTCCCGGGCACCGTGGCTCCGCCCCCGCGCGCCGCCAGGGCGCCGCCGAAGCGCGGAGCGCGGATCACGCGGGCCGGAGTCGCTCTGGGCATGCTCAGAGGCGGGGCCGGAGGGCAGCCGCGGCCGCGGAGTCCGGCCGAGCGCAGGGGCAGGGGCGGGGGCAGGGGGAGGGGGCGGGAGCCGCGGGCAGCGTCTCCCGAGCCGCGGGAGCGCACGCGGGCCGGGCAGGCATGAGCGATGGCCTCGGTCAAGGTGGCCGTGAGGGTCCGGCCCATGAATCGCAGGTGAGTACAGGGCTTGGGGCGCAGGCGGCCCCCGCGTGCTTCCCCGCCCGAAGGGAGCTGGTGTCGAGCTCCCCTCCAGAGCCGTCCTGGACTTGGGGTCCAGAGCCGGTCCCCGGCCCCCAGGGCCCGGTGGTGGCCTCTGGGGCAACTTGAAGCTTTGCTCTCGCTTTTACACTGCTCCGGAGGGGACTCGGGGGGTAAAGAGTTTACGGCGCCACGGAGAAGATTCCTGTAAACTCTTCCCGGTCCTGAGAATTTGAGGAAGTTTTGTCCTCCCCATTTGAAAAGCATCAAGGGATCACTTTCCTGAAGGTGTAAATTCACGAGCCGGGTTACGGGGCACCGGAGCTGTGAGGCGAAGTCCCCTCAATTGTTTCAACTCAGAAGTTCTCTCACTATTATCGCTGTAACTTTTTAATTTCTTAATAAGATATGATTATGATTCACCGAACGTGCACCTTGACTTCTGATCAGTAGTTTCGCAGTCCTTAACTTCAGGTTAAAGAGCGGATGGGAAAACTTATTAAAGTTTTGCTTCCTGGGACAAGGACACTTAAGTACACGTGTTTGAAATATGCCGATGTTAATAGGGAGGTGGTTATAATTTAATCTTGAATGTTTCTACTAAGTGATGCTTTTCAGAATGATTTGACTCTGCATTCTCTGAAGAATAATCTGTTCTTCCTTTTCAGTGACTATAATCACTGGCTTTAGAATAGTTACTTTTAAAATTGGTTTAGCTTTAAAGAATGAAGTGGATCTAAATAGGATGTGTCCTTCCCACTTGGTAGGAGCAGTTCACACAAGGCCATTTGTTTTTATTGGCTTCTCAAGCAAGTTGAACATTTTAACTTGCCATATGGCCTATGCTCCTTTTCTTGTGTTGACTTTGGAGGTCATTGTTTGTTAGTTCTGACAGCTGATTGAGGCATCAGAGGATTATAAAATCAAGAGATTGATGCAGCCTTCTTTGATTCATCTGAATCTGTTTTTCTGTTGGCACATAGGGAGTCGTTATTCTGATTTGTAACTATTGGAAACCAGTGCTTCTGTGATTTTTAAGTTATTTCTAAAGCTTTTTAGGGAAGAAATTTGACTTTTTGGTAAGTCAGACATATGCATTTCTATGTATATTCAGTCCTACAAAACAAATGGGACCCATTTAGATGTTTTTAAAAGATTGTTCTCTATTTTGGATTTACATGTACAACAAATGAACCTTCTTTTCCTTCTTTGAACTAAAGAAGCTTTGGAGCACATGCTACAAGATTGTGTTGAGTAACTAGAAAGCATTTATTAAGCTCCTGCCAATGCTGGAGACCTGTGTTTGGTCCCTGGGTCAGGGAGATCCCCTGGAGAATACCAGAGTGGGCATTCTGGCCTGGGCAATCCCATGGACAGAGGAGCCTGGTGGGCTACAGTTCATGGGGTCAAAGAGTCAGGCACAACTGAGCGCCTGAGCACAAGGAAGCAGTAATCTGGCTCCAGGTGGGGATGGGAAGGCTGCGAAGATCCACAGAGACAGTTTGCTGGCAGAATTGACAGGAATTGGCAGTTCATTGGGTGGGAAGGTGGGGAGAGGGGAAGAATAGAGAGTCGCTAACTGAGGTTTGATGCTTAAGAAGGTGGGAGAGGTTTGGGGAAGGTGTGTTCTCTTGGGCTTTTGAGTTTCAGGAGATGCAGTGAATGTCAAACACAAGCACAGCGTCCCATTAGAATGAGTGCTCCCCCAAGTGTTGATGAGGTTCACTGTCTGAAGTGTCGGAAGGACATCCATTTCTTTGCTGGTGTCGAGAAGACTGGAAGAAAACACGAATCTCAGGTGATCTGAGGATTGGTATTTGGAAATTTTTAGCACATGGATGACAGTTTAAGAATGTTACAGTGAGGTAGTGATTTCTCAGGAGGAGAATTTTTTTTAAAAAAACATTTTGTTTATTTATTTGGCTGTGCTGGGTCTTAGTTGCGGCATGTAGGATCTAGTATGTGGGATCTAGTATCTTGATACCCTGACCCAGAGATCGGACCGAGGCCCCCTGCGTTGGGAGCGCAGACTCCTAGCCACTGGACTACCAGGGAAGTTTCTAGGAACTTATTTTTATGTATAAAGCACAGATACACAGATTAAAAAAGAAGACTGTTTACCATCAGAAGAGGGAATCAGAGGTTGGGCGCTGGGATATGCTTTTTTTTTTTTTGGGATATGCTTCTTTTCGGTTTCCAGGGAGATGACTGGCCTGTAGCGGTGTAGGAGAACCAGCACAGCGCATGGTCGTGAAAGGAAAGGAGAAGGGGCTCCCGGAAGAGGTGGTGGTTGTTGGTGTCTGGTGTTGCCAAGATGGTACTCTGCTGATGCCAGTAGGATGAGGTCTTTGGTCTAGGAGACGAGTGTTGATAACCTTCCAAAGAGCAATTTCAAGGAGAGAAAATGTTCCGGAAGTTGGCAGTGAAGTGGAAAGAGATATACTAATGGCCAACCAGAAATGCTTGGCTTAACTCATAAGGAAAGAGGTGCAGGTTATAACATTTGTAAGAAACCATTTTTCACCAGTGAGATTGGTGAATATTAGCTGAACTTCGAGTGTTGGTGATGGGATCATAAAAGGGTCAACACCTTTGAAACTTTCATGTTGGGAAATTTGACAGTAGCTGTCAAGATGTGAAATTTATAAACTCTTTGGTTGAGAAATTTCATTTCTAAGATTTTATTTTATAGATTGTGTTCCTATCTACCAAGAGGTATGTGTAAGGATATTTCTGCATCATTCTTTGTATAACAACAGCAAAAAAATCATAAATGACCTAAATGTACAGTAATGGGGGAATTTTAAAATTGTGGCCTAGTCATTTGGTAGAATACAATTTAATACTTATAAAAGACTCTTAGGATCTTTGTCTTAAAAAGAGTTCCAAGATAGAGAATTAAGTAAGAAAAGTAAGATACTCAAAGATGCATACACTGTTGTAGAGTTGTTAAAAATGTACACTTACATGCACACACATGGCCGTATCTGTATAGAGTGATTCGCAAGAAGCCTGACAGCTAACTCCGGGGAGGAGAGCTGATGAAGAGTCTATTAGGCCAGGATAGAAGACGTTTTTTTTCTTTCACTGTTTGAGAATTTACTTTGCTCTTGGTAGTTTTATAATTAATAATTCAAAACTTGTTTATGTAATTTTAAAGAGTTATCCAGGAAGTCATTGGCGCCACAGAAAGAATTTTTAGCTCATTGTCCAGGAGGTTTGAAGGAAGTTGTTAAAAGAATTTTCCCCCAGTTTGGTTGAGATGTGATTGACATATTTATAAGTGTCAGATATACGGCATAATAACTTGACATGTATATGTTGTGAAATAATTACCACAATAAGGTTAGTTAATATCCATCATCTCATGTTGTTCCAAAAAAAAGAAAAAAATCTTTTTTCCCTTGTGATGAAAACTGTTAGGATTTACTCTCAAAACACCTTTCAAATACCTTCCAGAGGTATTAACTATGGTCATCATGTTGTACATTATATCCTCAGGACTTATAACTGAAAGTTTGTGACTTTTGACCCCCATCAGGGCCATCTATACAGCAGTTCTCTTTCTCTGACTGCTGTCACTTCGCATAATGCCCTCAAGATTGTCTGTGTTGTTGCAAATGGCAGGATTTCCTTCTTTTTCATGGCTGGGTAATATTCACATATTCATATTTATGTGTGTGTGTGGTCGTGTCTTCTTTACCCATTCATCTATTGATGGGCCCTTAAGTTGTTTCCCTGCCTTGGCTTTTGCAAATGAGGGTACAAGCCCGAAGGCAAACAGGAAGCAGCCAGTAGGAAGGAGAGGCCTGGGCTGATAGGGCGGTTGGGTTGCATCCTGTTGACGGATGGGGCAAGGGGGTGAGATACTGACTCTGAGCCAGGAGCCTGTGTGGTCACCAGTCCTCTGAAGAGGCCCCCAGTGCTTGATTAAGGACAAAATGTGATGCATTCCTGTTTAATAATTGTCCAGGAGGAGGAAACTTCTTCCTCTCCCTGTTGGTGAGTTCTTGTCTAATAATGAAATTGATGCAAAGTTAACAGGCGGAAAAGAAACAAACTTGTAAGGAATTGATAGGTCAAAGAACCTTAGGTTTTGTGTGCCCAATTAGTGAGGAATCTAAACAGGGTTTGGGCTTGGGGGTGATTGTTTCTTTGCTAAGTGGTGTCTGGCTCTTTGTGACTCTGTGGACTGTAGCCCACCAGGGCCCTTTGTCCATGGCACTTCCCAGGCAAGAATACTGAAGTGGATTGCCATTTCCTTCTCCGGGGGATCTTCCTGACTCAGCGATTGAACCTGCACCTCCTATATTGACTGAGCCCCCAGGGAAGCCCCTTGGGGTAGCACATTAAAGAAAGAACAAGGTCCAGAATCCCCTGTCTTTGGCAGTAGGGGTGTCCTTCCACCTCCGCAGGCAGGGCGTATGCCTTTCCCATGGATGATTGATTTCTTGCTTTTGGGGAGTTTAGGGAGACAGGAGGGTCAGAGTGTCCCTCATAGATTGACCATTTCTTAAGTAACTTTAATTCAAAACAATCAATATGCCATGGAGGTGCATTTTGGGGTGGCCCCCCCCGAACCCCAGCACTACCTTGTGGCTTTTGGTTCTGTGGCAGAAGTAGTAGTTTGAGGTTTGAAAAAGCCATTACGTTCCATCAAGTAACAGCCTCTCCCTTTATTGAGAGTTTTCTCTGGACCGGTGGTGCAGAAGCTCATTTAATCTTTCTCATAATATCAACAGGTAGAGGCTGTGATTATCATGCCATTTTCCAGACTGAGGAAGATAGTTAACTTGTACAAAAGTCAGTTTCCTAGGACAGTCACAGCTATGCTTTATAACATGAATAAAATGTCAGCAGACACTTCATTCATTCATAATTTTTGTGGGCAAGAGCTTACTATTTATGTACTGTCTCTTTTTCTTGGTGATTTCTTCCCCTGGTCTGATGCCTCATCTTTTCTTTTTTGACTGGTT